AGGACTAGAATTCAGGAGTTCTTGTGCCTGGAGAAGATGCAATGTCTGAGGATGCCCAAGGCATTTTGCAGCCTAGAAGGCACTTCTGTGATCTTTACAAAAGGGAAAATCTCTTGCCATCTGCCATGTTAGGATCTAACACAAGTTGCACAGCGGAGTTGGTAAAACCATGTGTTTCTGTAGAACTGGGGGTGATGTGTGCTCAGCTTCCCCACAGTGTTGGCTGATGGTGGATGGCTGTACGGATCACCACATCCTGCACATATCATTCTTCTGAGCCCCCAGCTTAGCAGGCATGTTTTAGAGAAGCGTCTGCTTCTTTTTTTTATGAAAAGGGAGCAGAGGTGCCTGGCTCCTCCCACTGCACCAGCTACACTTGGGTTTTGCCCTGGGGGCATTGACTGCACCAGCTGCTTTGAGGAGAATGCAAGTTCCTAAGTTCTGCTCCAGTGTGAAAAGGAGCGAATGGTATTTCCTTCAGCAGCACACGGTCTGTGTATCCACATGATTTCAGTTACATAAGCTTGCTTACTTCATGGCTGTTTATTTATTTGAAAACTTTCTTCAGACAGCAGGGAAAGTGCTGCAAACCCACTGTGAGGCTCTGCAGCTGCAGAGCAGCTCGGCAGGCAGCAGGGAGTGCGTGTGCCTCTGGCTCAGACAATGTGTGGCAGCAGCAAGGCCTTTAAGAACAGCTTACTTGGAAGTGTCACTGTGCTGTGTTCTCCCCTGCTCTCAAAAAACAGAGTGAAAAGGGTACCACAACCATCACCTTGTGTTCATAGGTGGGTTATTTGTTGGATGTTCTGACCTTGCCTCTGCCCCTTCAGGAGGAGCATGGAATAAATCCTTTGCAGGGGGAAATGCACTGGAGCTGCCCACTCAGGATATTTACTTGGCCGTTCCGTGGTGCCACAGTTGTCAGTGAGGGGACAGCATTTGATGCTGGAACCAGGGATACTGCCTCTAAAAAGCTGATGTTCAGGCAGGGCCATCTTGTGCACTCACACTATCAGTTGCCAGGATTGTGCATAAATGTCCTTGTTTTCTGACATTGCAAACTCAGTCTTGTAAATGTTGGGGAAATAGTTGGTATCTGAATTTTCTGTATCTGCCAATATTTAATTCAGGGAGCAAATAAAAACTATCCTGGTGTTACCAGCTTGTTTCCCTTTTTTGACTTGGAATTTTATGTCTCCAGTCTCTGCCCTTGAGCAGGGCTTCATGTGTAAGTTAAATAACTCATCACTGCTTTTTTCTCAGATTTTAAGCACACAATAGGCAGCTAGGAAATCAGCACAGCACTGAATCAATGAAAGTGTTTGGTGGTAACTCATGACCCCTGTTTGCAACTAGGGAACAATTCATTAATACTTCCAAACTTGGAATCCTGAAGTGGGTGAGGTTTGGTTTTGTACAGAATTATGTTGCAAAGATGAACCTTAAATCTAAAGAAATGTTATAATTTGTCATTATGGGAATTGATGGGTGATATGTCCTGCGTTGTGCCCTCCTGATGTTGGGAAATAGGAGTTGGCAGAGGCAGGGAAAGGCAACTGCAGAACCCTTAAAACCGTTTACAAAACAGTGGCAAGACTTGGTTATTTTAAAATTTCTTTGGACATCTCAAGTATTTTTTTTTCCTTTTACAGGGTAAAAATGACTTAAGAATAAATTTAACATGTAGTGCTGTAAATAGCTCAGTTTGCCAGAAGTTCTTGATTATTTCTGCCAAGTAACAATTACACTTCTGTTTTTGCCACATTCCTTCCTCCTTTGCTCCAGCTTTGTGGTATGAGCTGCTTTTTTACCTGGGAGTTAAAATCCAAGGGGAGAATGTTGCTCTATGGCCATATCCTTCAGGCCCTGGTAGTGTGTGTGGTGGGGTAGTTTTACAGATGCCAAGAGTAGAGTAGCAAAAAGAAAACAAATTAGGACACTTGATACTCTCCAAGGTGGAATTCTGGCGTGGTGCAGCATCCTTATGTACTGATATGTGTGGTACTTTTTAAAGGAGCATTTACTCCATTGCTGAAGTGTAGGATGGGCTTGATGCTTTCTTACTGCTTCAGTTAAGATGTTTTTTTGGTTGGAAGACTAGAAATGCCTTTGAGAGCAATCTTGAATGTGGAATCATTGCTGCCCATCTCTGAGCAATGTAAGCAGTAAGTACTTTATTTTCCTAAGGCTGTAATAATCAAGTTGTTTGACTTTCCATCAGGGAGGGAGAAGGGGAAGGGAAGGGAAGGGAAGGGAAGGGAAGGGAAGGGAAGGGAAGGGAAGGCAAGGCATTCTTGTATCAAACCCATAACTTCAGTTAACAATAGTA